TAGGGTTCAAGCTATCACGAGTTCACATAATCTGCGAATGAGAAACAAGACTCGGTGACCAAAAAACAGTAAGCTAGCTATTGATGCGTCCAAGCCCCGCTAACTAGAGGGAGAAGTCCAAGCTTCGAATAGGTAAGTATATTCTGCAAACAGCCAGAAACGAGCGATAACAACAATTACAATTAAAAACGTATATATACAGTACAAAACCGTCCTTGGGAAAGTTATTAAATAGCATACTAAAAGACGCAACGGACCAATAGCATTTAAGATACTACCCAGTGAGAAATACGACATGAAGGTGACAAGAGCGCCTTTGCCGCGAAAACAAAGAAATTCAAATTTTCTACATAAAATTACAAAATTAGGTCCTTTCCCAAGTGAGTTCTAGGGATCTAACATCCCCAACAATAGATCATTCGTTTTTGCAGGTAATAAAGGATTATAAAATTTATATTACTCTAGAAAACCAATGACGTCGTGATATTATGAGTAGACTTTAGTAATACATCTAGCATATTATTGATAGTTCGATTTGGATTGAACGAAAAATGTGGTTATTAAAGCTGAGTGTGTATGTAGTGAGACTGTCTTAAAAATTACAATGGTGAAACAATTGATATTAATTTATGATCGTGACTACTGGTAGACTAAAACTAGTACAGTATATAACGTTCCATTACGTGAAGTCCTGAATTCCAATCCATATTCAAACACTAATAATCAAAGTACTAAGTGTAATCAATTAAGGAATAAAATGGAAAAGCATATCTTGTATAGTCAAACAGTAACAAAAAAGTGTATGAAAATCAACTTACTTAGTAAGATTCAATGGTGAGAAATTGAATGATTCAAACAATTTGTTTCCCAAATTGAAATTTGTATATAACCGTACAGATTTAATAAAATGATTACAGAGATTCATTTGAATACCTAAAATTTAATAATTTATTGTGAATAAACCAGTTCCTGAGATTGAGATGATGTAAACAGTCAATAGATTGCCAAAGTTTGATGAATTAAATAGAATATTCAATATAAAACATATCTGATACCTAGTCATTAGTGTGGTGTGAGCTACTTATATCTACATAAGTAGTATATAACGATAGTCAGGAATGGAATGTATTTCAGTAGAAGATCGAAAAGGAAACAACGGAAACGGAAAACAATTGATATGAAAATGCAGGAACAATGAAATCTGAAACGAAGGACTGATATTTGCAAAAGGAACAGTCAAGTTTGGCACAGTTGATTAATATTTTGCAAATTAACTATTTACGGTATGGTTCTCAGATTTTAGTAAGACGTTCTATAATATATATTACGTCCAAATATATTCGATTGTCCCCACTCGTGTTCTTGTTCACTGCATTAGGATTAAGTGAGAGATGATAATTCTTATGATGGTATAAACGTTACATATGTATGTTATGATTAGTTGAATAATTGAAAATGTGACGATTTGAAAGTAATCCTCTGATAATGCGATAACATACATACATATTAGGATTGTGATCAGTCATCTACAATGTAGGACCAGGCACGTATATGCATCGGTCCAAATTGCCACACCTCATTAGCAGGTGGCCCAACCATCTCAGTCGATGAAGATTCATAACCTCATCAACTGATTTACCATCATTACCTAATACCCTGCGTCTAACCTCACTATTAATTACCCGGTGATCCCAGCAGACGCCAGCAATATTTTCAAGACATCTGTGGTCAAATATTAGTAGCTTACGAGTGTTTTCTACTCTTAATGGCCATGTTTCGCTGCCGTAAGTTAAAACAGAACGGACTGCCGCGCAGTATACTCGTCCCTTAATTGATAGACGAATATCTCGTCTTCGTCATAGGTGACCTAAGTTGGCAAAAGCCAAGCGAGTTTTTCGAATCCGTGCTGAGATTTCGTCAGACACCAACCCATTAGGGCCGATCAGAAATTGTAATCTATTATTTCACTCAATAATTGTTAGCATGTAATTTTCTGTTTATTAAGTACTAGTAATTAATTATAAACATGTTGTTCAGTTGTGTACCATAAGTAACCCTAGCTATGTACATGTTAGTAATTAAGTCTTCCTTTTTTGTGTATAATCAGATGATTTTTGAAGTTTGATTAAATTAAATGATCTTTTTCTAGTGTTCTAATGTAAAAATAAATTAAGGGATTCGGGAGAGAATGCAATCAATGCTTTAATCAAATGTTGAGTATATCCACTAACTGGGCTATCGAATATAGTTGGGATAAGGGAAGAAAATTCATAAGAGTATGGTATATAGTTTATCCATTGTATCAATACTGACCTACAACCACCAGATTAAAATGTTAGACATATATACGACTTAATCATTGCTGATATAAAGAATATATTAGCCGATAGTAAACAGCTCTAATAATAAAAACATCACATCATAAGCTTTTCAAAAATGGATATTTTACAAACTCAACAATTAGCAAGATAACGGAATCAAGACATCCTGTGAAGAACGTAATGTTAGATAAAGCTGTACTATATCACAGAACGACCTTGAGATCTTACCACTTTCAGTCAATCAGGATTCTTTAACTGTAGGCGATGTCAGTTTGCAATAAAAGTCTTAACACTAACCTTTGATTCTATTTTAAAACAAGGCTTTTTGATCTAACCACTTAAAATCTATCCATATTAGCTTATATTTCACTTTCGAATGTCTCCCAAAAACTGAGAGCTGGTAAACTGTCATTCAGTCATAGTCCGGATACAAATGCAGTGGAACGTGTTTCTATGTTATTCTGTACAATCTGGCCAAATAATTACTAGAAAGTGAGATTGACAATAACAAAAAGACCAAGGGCCACACGCATTGTTGTGTAGACAGAAGTATGATTTAATTTTTTTCTAGTTATCTTTTTCCAGCAAGGTTGTTTTCTGTGGGAAGGGGGTCGCTAACTCCATGCCCAACCCTCCTCCTTAACCCAGGCTTCAAGCCTACAAAAGCCTTAAAAGTACAACAGGGGGAAAGTAAGATGCTTAAATACAATGCAGGGAACACTAACGCAATCACACCTGACGAAAAAGCTCTGGTAGAGATGGAAAGTTTTACATACCTGAGCAGGATCATCGATAAGATAAGAGGATGCGATGTAGATGTAAAGGCAAGGATTAGCAAAGAAAGGACAGCATTCCTACTATTGAAGAACAAACGGAACTCAAAACAACTTTCAACCAACATTCAAGTTAGAATCTTCAATGCGGATGTCAAGACAGTTCTACTGTGTGGAACTGAAACTTCGAGAACTATCACAAACTTCATCAAAAAAGTAGAAGTATTTATAAACAATTATCTAAACAAGATACTCAATGTCCGTTGACTGGATATCATCAGCAACAGCCTACTGTGGAAGAGAACAAACCAGCTTCCAAATGAAGAGGAAATTAGAAAAAAAACGTTCGAGGTGGATAGAAAATACATTACGGAACTTATCAAACTACATTACGAGTCATACCCTAACTTGGAATCCTAGGTGGAGGGAAAAGGGCAAGACCAAAAAATATATTGCGTTGGGAAGTGGAAGAAGATATGAAAAAAAATGAATAGAAACTGGAAAGGATTACTTAAAGCAGAGTTCGAGTGAGAATGCTAGGGGATGGTTTATGCTCCTCCACGAGGAGTAACCCGTGTAAGTAAGGCAAAAGTAGACAGTGATTCAGGTAGACCGGTAGATAATATGACAGGTATATGGAGTATCATAGACATTTTCCTAATCTTTTTACGAACTCAGTTATCTATTGTCACACGTAGTAAACAGGCTAATTACGTGTTTTGATTTGAGTTGTGTTTTGGTAGACTGATTCCTGGCCAACCATCTAATAGAGAGAGAGTAAACCATATGTGCAATAAAATCGTTAATAGTTCGTTCAGAGCAAACTACAGTGTCATTAGTATTCAGAAGTAATAAAACATTATTTTCAGAATGGGGGTTTGTGAAGATTGTATTAATTTAATAGTTAAATTCATGAATCGATTTAGGTTAGACCACTTTTGAAAACCTGGAAGCACTGGACAGCCGTTTCATCCTAGTATGGGACTCCTTAGCAGTGTGCGAAGGTCCTGGGTATTTATTATTATTATTATATTTGAACACATTGATATTGGTACAAGGAGGCACCAAATACATATGTGCCACACAAATCTCATTTGATATGTGTGAGGGCTGTGATACTGCTCGGGTGCCCAAACCGAAGCAGGTGGTTATCTTAGGGGGCCACTCCCCGAGCCTTCGACCTAAAAGTTTGATCCACAAGGCGGTGGGGCATTGTGAGGAGATACAGTCCCATGGAAGCCGGTGACCAACAATTGGTTCATACGCCATTTGTTCCCACAGGATACTGGAGCCCATGTGCACCATTGATTTGGAATCCGGTTAAAGCGCCGGACATTCGCTTTTCGTTCTCTCATTTTTGTAAACAACACCCCCGCAACGGGAAGGCAGTGAGTAGGACTTCCCTGGCAGAGGCTATATACGCGTGGCCATGTGAGAGCATTTCGAGAGGGAGAGCGGACTCTCTCCACTCTCGGATGTACCAGGGCAGTCTACGAATGTATACATCTTTACATTTAGTTCTTTTCAAACATCTCAACTAACTTTAATTATAAATAGCATAATTCAAACAAATCTGTAACAGACACATACCTAAACATACAACAACAAAAATGAAAACTGAATTTCTGTCCAGAACTTATATTTGATTTAATCCTTACAAATAAAAATACCCCCCAAAAAGATTCTAATTACATTTTGTGTATAAACTAACTCATTATGAACAACTATGGTAATGTTCTATACATGCAAGTGTACATTTTCTATTTCCATTATATACAGTTAAATAGAAAGACATAAACCATATCGAAAAATACTGAAGCTACTCAATTCTGTGTTAATATTAGTTATAAACAAGACATGAAATATGTTTCATATGAATAAAGATACAAAAGAAAAATGCAAAAGTTTAAATAGCTATATGACTTTTAGGTAACTGATTTTGTTGTACATCAGAAGAACTTGTAGTATATGCTAAATCCAATATCTGTGGTATAATTTTTGTTTGTATAGTTGTTTTGTCAACACTATGAAGAGAGATACGATGGAATAAACCATTCTTTTTAGCATCTTCTATTATGTGACGACGATTTTTTATATACAGTGGATCATAATGATGTCGAAGTAAACCGGTTACAAAACTGGTGAAATCTTCACGATGTACCATTTCAGTCCACTGATTAATCAATTTATCTGGTATATATTCATTTAAACTATTTATAATAAAAAGAGAAACTAAATGAAGTCAAGCATAAATAAGACAAATACAATTTTATTAAAAGTTATTTTTTTCCACCTAAACACAACGACTAGGTAATTATGAGGCAACTAAAGCCATTAATGTAATCCAACGAAGAAAAGATGAAAGTATATAAAGAGCGGAATATTACAAGCCCTATAGATTCAAAGTATGACGAGATATTGTCCTAGAATTATACTATGCGAATCATCAACAATATAAGCCTGACATAGACGTGCATCGAAACATACCACATTAGCAAAACGAGATAAAAATTAGCGACAAGAAAGGCAGATATAATGTTGTACAAAACATTGACAACGAAGACTGGTGATTGAGGATGTGATTTGAAAAGAGAAGATGGAAAGGTATGTATGTGATGGAACATTGGACTCCATAAACAAAAGTCAGTCGGTCTGTTCAAAGTAGAACCTGTTATATATGTACATCGGTTCAAGTTGCCATAACCCAGTAGCACACCAAGATGAAATTTTCAGGTCAAATCATCCGATAGCAGACATAGTAATAGTGACACTGGTAATACGAAAGATTGGACATCGAAGATACCATCTGAGAAAATATAAATTAGTGAAACAAGAAATATGTGAGGGATTTATGAAGTCAGAATTTGTGAAAAGACAAAAAGTGGATGCGCTTGAGCCATTACAAACAATTTACACGACGTCATTCAAAGTCTCTAACCACTGATTACGATAATCACATGGACTTCAATCAGACAATCTAAACCCAGTTCGACTGTCAATGACTTTATGGATTGGCCCCACGGCTTGGTTTGGTCTCTTCTAGCTATCTCCCAGATTACTCCTAAATCAGACGAAATCGACCGTCGAGGAAGGCACTGGTCGAGCATATGTATCACATGTTTCAATCACCTCAGTTCGTGAAGATTTACTAACTCATCAATCGATTAGCCATCCTTATTTAGTACCTTATTCCTAACCCAATGATCGCGTACTAAATGGATCCAAAATACGTGAACAATGCTTCGAAGACACCTATAATAGAATCTTAGTGACCTACGAATATCCCTTACCCTTAATGGGCATGTTTCACATTCATAAAAAAGGATGAAGCGAACTGCTGCGTGGTAAACTCGTCCTTCGGTTGGAAGATGGATATCTCGCTTACATCACAAGTGATGCAAATTGGCAAAAGTCGATCGAACTTCTCGAATACATGTTGAGATTTCATTAGACAACAGCCAATCAGAATTGATGAGACTCCTAAGATAAGAGTAGCAATACACGCACTCAACTACTTCGTACTTGTCATTAATTGGATGCTGATGCAGACCAGTGCCGAAGCAGCATTTTTTCATTAAGAAAGAGAAACACATCCCAAACATGCTTGCATTATTCTTTAAAACGCTCAGAATATTATCAATTTTGTCAGTGCCTTCACCAAACAGAACTATATCATCTGCGTATACTAAGAAAACAAGAGAATATCTTGGTGGGAGATCAATCCTTGAAAAGTCAGACGATGAATGTATTATTTTTAAAAGTATATCTATGACAGAGTTAAGTAAAAATGGAGAAAGCAGACAACCCTGACGAACACTACTTGAAGTTGAAAATTCTGACGAGTTGGACATAAGCTTTAATTCAACCACCAGTGTTCAAGTAAAGAGCCTGTACAAGGTTGATGTACGTCTTTGGTATGCTTTCAAATGATAGACATTGCCACAGTCTACAGAGTCGAATCTTAACGTCAAAAAACAAAATTTATACTCATGTATCGAAAAGTATAAGCTAGATGACACTAGTCAGCAAGGTGAAATTGCGATCCTGAGTGCATTACTGTTCACTACCGGATCCCCATCTGAGTTATTCAGCCTCGCAGTCTGAAACGTTACCACTCAGATGTTTTGCAGATACCGATATTCTGCATGACAAATATTTACCAACTACCTCCAGTCATCTACCTACCTACATACCTACCATAGAAAAATAGGCCAGGCAATTTTAAATCATTTAGACCAGACCAGATTGCAAATTGTTCAATAAAATTTGACTAACACTGAGGACTATACAAATATGATACTAGCCACTACCCAGTAATCAATAGTTGTACTTAACTGAATAACTTTCACCACTGATTATCGTCTTCTATCCTACACATAGTAGAACTATGTTCGGGCTATCCAATTGAGTTAATCTATAAAAAAAACCGAAAGCAAAAACAAAGTTGACGAAAAAAATGTAACTTATGACAATAGGTTGGATTATTCGTGTTACAACCGATGGATCATTAAGTAGTGAAGAATTTCTCGTTTACCTTTTATTGCTAAATATATTTTATCAAAAATGTAGTAATCTGTCTGGTAGTCCAAGTAACTCAACATTACATGTACTATGATGAGATGTTTAATGATTGCAGATCGTCAATAAGAAAACTTGAATTAATTTTTACTCCACACAATACACTCAATACTCACCTTTTGAGAATAGCTAGAACTTTTGGAACATTCCGAGTAACAGTAGAATAATTTTCTAAAATCCAAGCAACTCTTGCTTCTTCTGTAATATCAATCCATAATCGATGGGTGCCAACATTTGGATCTGTAGATCTTAATCGTGACCATAAACCATCAGATAACCCACAAACTGGTCCAATATGCCGTGATTCGCATTCGATCCATAAAATATTTTTGCAGAATGACAATCGATGCTTATTTGTCATCATTACATGATGAAGTTGAGATTCAAAAAACTTTTGTTGACTACCTTTATTGGTAGAGATTTGATGGTCGCTAGTGTCACTATTTGATAATACACTATCACCACCAAACATTGAACCTTTATGTTTAGCCAAAGCTTCTAAATCGAAAACGGTTTCACCATGATCGTGTAACTCTTGAAGTATTAAAGATTTCCCGGAACCTTTTATGTGATCAACAAGCAAAGAAATAAATGGAAAAAAATTAAACACTCATATACATAGTTCCCTGTACTAGCCTAAAGAGAGCAAGGACAAAATTTTAGGTAGAATAACACGAATCCTTTTTACGTCGTTAGTTTCTCGTGAAAATACACCTAAAGCTATTCTAGGGTTACTCTCGGTCCTAAAGGGTTGATCATAGGATTAGCGATCCCATCCTATAAAAACGACCTTGGTAAAAAAAAACCCAACCAGTAAAAATCATTCGAAATCTACCTTGAGAGTCAAAAGGTCTTCATTTAGAAGGGTTATGATGCCTCATGATGAAAACCAAAATAGTTCATAAGTCACGAGGTCAGAACCCCTTCTAAAAACCAGAACAACACAATTAATATATGTACATGAAATGTCTACATGAAGGCTATCTTTGGTAAGTGCTATTATATTATGATCATAAAGAAGACAATGTCCCACATACGCAAGCGGTTGCACTGATGTTCTCCAAAGAAATTAGAAGAGCGCCTATAAAATAGGAATGTCATGGCTTCAGGATTATCGAAGCATCCTACAAAACAAACAAAGGAAGAGATGACGAAGAAACTCATACACTTTTACGCACCCATCAATGAAAGCAGCGACGATGAAAAAGATAAATTTAATGAGAGAATAGAGTCCATCGTACAGAGTAACCTACAAAAAGAAATGACCATCCTGATGATGGACCTGAACGTCGGGGTCGGTGTGAACAACGGGTATGAAGAAATCATGGGGCGACATAGACTGGGAGAAAGAAACGAGAATGGTGAGAGATTGACAAGTCTGTGTTTTCAACAATATGGTTATAAGTGGCATCGTCCCCTCCCCACAAACTAAGAGTAGAAAGAAAGTTACCTCATCAAAGTACCAAAAAAAGATCATACAAAATGTGAGAACTATAGAGAAATTACACTAATATCAATATTTGGCGAAATTTTCAGAAAAACGAAACTAAACTCTCTCTACTTTCTGTTGTACATAGAGAGCTGTTTACTTTCTAAGTTAAGGTTTGAGAGGTGTGTATGTCTATGAACCTACTGGATATCGAATTTAGAATATGTATCATTGACAACACAGAGTCAAATAAGAACATTTCAAGATATACGTCAGTTGCTATAAATCCTCGGTTGAGCTTTTGCAGTTGAAGGTATAAGCTGGGATTCCGTAAAAAAATGCAGACTCGTATGTTTAGTTATACATCGAAGAAATTAGAAAACCAGATGGTGATAATACGTGACTGCTTATACCGAAATAGTGGTAGAAAAGTTCGAATCTAAATAATGACTAATAAACTGATTGTATTTTGTTACTGAACAACAAATACACATTTCTCACACTCTTGAAGATTAAAAAAGTAACGCTCATAAGGTATTAAAAGTAGTATCCTTCTAAAATCAATCACCAGAAATACATATGACATAATTCCGTTAAGACAAATAACATTAGTGTAAAAACTTACCAGTAAGACCAGATATGACCCAAAACGGACTCAGTATAGACCAACGAGGCCATGCATCCAACTGACGAAGTAGAAGTCTACGCCAAGAACGATATCCACCAACAAGTGTATATATATTACCCGGCCAGCCTACTTCAGATAATATAGTTGCTAAAGAATTAGATCTTTGACCTCCACGCCAACAATAAATAAAAAAATCGGGATATTTTACAATTTTTCTTTTTCCATTAGAGTGATGATTTACAGGAACCGAATTGTCTAGTTGTAAACCATATTGATAAGAAAGTTCTTTCAAACAACGACTAATATTAGCACAGACCAAAGATGCACCATAAAGGCGAGCTTGAATACGATCATCTATGTGTATTGGGAAAACAATAATATACAAAAAAATATTCTGAAATTGTGAAGTCAGTATATTATTTAGCTGAAGGAAATTCACACCAAGATAATTTCAAAGGTTTGGAGTAGAGTAACATGAACTCTGAGTTGCTTTTGTTAAACTCATTTTCGCTTCTGTGAGATGTGCATTAAACTTCAGAAACTTATTGAATGACTTAAATGCAACAGGGTCCACACGCGATTTTAGAATATTAAAGATTTCCATTGTGAAAATTAGAACAACACCTATTGTACAATGTTCTTCTTCTATATAAAAACTATACATTTGCAATATTTTATTTTATCTCTTAAAATGATTTACATTCTTGTTAAGTTACACTGATGTGTGTATGTTAAAACTACTTCTGATTAAATTCATTATATAATGATGAATTTAAAGTAACACAGATGATATGCAGACGATGAGAACTTAATGAAATAACTTCTACCTGAAATTTGTACTGATGTTATCGTTCAGAAGAACGATGAAAGCTCCACGACCAAACCATCCAGCTCAGAGAACCAAAACTCAATCAAAATTCATGATATTCTATTCATATAGTCGTTATATTCGTCTACGAACTAAGTGAAAGATATGCTTTTTTTGGTAAACGTTTTAAGCGAACAATACGAAATTATTTGAACCATGAACAGTAAGTTGTGGTGATATTTTACAAAACTGAACTCGATAATTTGTTAATTATCCTTGAATACTTTGTGAATGTGAATGTGAATTTAATTTCAAACGAAAGGACTACTTAAATATTCACATTACTGTTCACCGGCTCAGTAGTCTAGTATTTAGGTGCTCGCGAGATCGAAGGTTCCGGTTAATATTTCTAGTTGGGGCGTGGATGTACACTGTTTAAGAGTCTCGTACCACAACTTGACAGTTTATAAGTCCTTTCTGGTTGTGACACTAAACTCAACGGATGATGCATTCTATGAAAATTCAACATCTACAAGCCTCCAACAGTAATAATAGTCATGTGCTTACGTGTGACTTACTTTGATATGTATTTTCAATAGTTCTAGTGAGAAGCCGTGACCAGTAGGGCTAAACTATCTTGCGCGTGAGGCAATGATCCAATGTAGTTAATGGAAGATAGTCGAGCAATATCGCCAAGTGATTGGAGTTACATATGTAAACCATTGGACACAGGGTTCAGCTGTCTGGAGATCAAGCACCTAAGGACAGAAGTTGTGAACGCACATAATTGAGGACAATAACAGCTGTCCATTGGTCCATAACTTGGAGTTATAGTTGTGTGACTAAGATCAATCGGTAATGAAATCTATGAGAAGAACTAGTGTTCGAATCATTGGGATTGTATTAAAATGTCAAACGATTGAACTAATGAAATTAGCTTATAACGGCGTACATATATATTGACCTCCACACGTCCATTTACTCGTGACATCTACAATACATTGCTTCATGCCTTACAAGTATCATTTAACACCCAATGTTTATCAGAAAAAGCTACTTCTGGAAACACCTTGATCTTAAATAAGTGATTGTAAAACATTTACAAAACGAATAATTAATGTACTTACCAGTAATTAACCAGTTTAAACAAAAATAGATACTTCAACGGCTTAATATTGTTCTCAATAGTTAATTTAGCAATGAAAGTTTCAATATTAAACATTGGATTTTGGGTATACATATATAAATCACATTTCGCATGATAATGATAATCAACATTCATGTCGATTCACTAATAAACGTTACATGCGTAAAACCATTGAAGAAAAAAACAAGTGAGACTATAACTTATGGACGACCTATGAACAACGCTAAAATGACCTTAGAATGTTCACCTACTTAATAGAGGTAATTGAGAGTTATAAATTAGTGTGAGGAATTAGAATAAGAATTTACAGTTGTACATTAGGGTTAGGAATTAGATTAAGCGTTTTCATCACGAACTGACATCAACTATAATGCCAAAATGGTATTTAACCAAATGGGTGAATGAATTTCGCGCCAAAATCCAAGACCTGTTATCTTAAATCTGAATGGTTCGTCCATAAATTATAATATTGCCATAGACCGGCGAATTTATTGCAAACAGATTATTTTGCTGAAATTCTCTTTGTTTTTCATAATATAATGAGAATGATAAAAAATTATTAGCAGAATGGTAAACGTTTTTTTATAGCCGAATAAGAATATTCACTCTAAAGATAATAAATACAAGAAACTTTAATAGGGGATCGAACTACATTATAAAAAACAAGCGCTAATTTTGACGAGAAATCTTCTATGATAATTATCAACTTTAAGTTAAAAATATTCTCTACCGTTGGATGCCGGCTTAATGGTCTAGAGGTTAAGTGTTCGCGTGAGAGTCCGGGGTAAGAGTCTCATGTGCAGGATCATGAACGCGCATTGCTGAGGAGTCCCATACTAGGAAGAAAAAACGGCCGTTCAGTGCTCCCAAGTTTTCGATGGTGGACTAACATTGATCCATTCAGGATATCATTCTAAACTCAATAATCTCCACAACCCTATACTGATAATTATTCTCTAAACAGACAGTAAATTTAGATTATTAGTTTGTCTCATCTATCGAAAGTAAGATGCCTGGAGGCAGATGGTTAAGAAGACCGAAGAAAAGAGAATGAGAACAGAAAGTGATTGATGTGGAAACGAAGGAACAGTCAAGTCTTAGACAATTAATTGACATTTTACAAATGAATAATTTACCGTATGGTTCTCAGATTTTACCAAGATATTCTGTTATGTTGTATTGAAATACATTTAGGTTGTCACTGCCTGTGTTCCCGTTCACTACAATACAACGTGGTAACTGTGGAAAAGATTTATATACATTATTTTTAGCCATAATTTGGAAACTATTGTTACCAGTGAGTTGTCCAAATGTCAAGAAATGAAGTAATCTGAACCAAGAATTCAGGAGACATCAAGAAGGGAGAATGTATTTGTGAGATCACAGCGAACGACTTTGAAGTAATAAATCCAACGTTCCGCTTGGCAAGCTGGTCCAAGTTTTTTCAAGGAAATATAATCAAACACCAAAGTTCTTATATAAAGAATTCAGGAGAGTTAACTTAAATATTGAGTTTTCCATACAAATAATTAACGTAGCAGCTTACCTTGATTGTATAAACGGCCAACGATTGCTCTTTCTTCATTATTTAAAACAGGAAGATTTATTGCTCCGTGAATGTGATCTTCATTAAATTCATCAGGACTTCGTACATCAATAATGATTGGTTTTGAAATAGAATCGGAAAATACACTTGACCATGTGCAACAACCTGCAGGACCTGATTCAGGTGGAGGGGGTATAGTTGGATGCCAAGCGTCATGTGAAGCATATGGTTCAGAAATCAAGGTCACCAACTTGAAAGATTTCTTTGGTTTGCTAGCAACATATGAACTTAAAAAGGATTGTGGTTGTTGATTGGTTATAAGTAAGGAAATTCGATTACCATAAAATAAACATAGGTGGGAACACCAAGATGAACGATTGAAGTGATGTATCTATTCCAAATAAAAATGTGAGTTATAGCCTAATGCATACAAATTACTGGAACGTCAAACGCAAAAAATCTAACCGCTGTTCGTTTAATGTAACTCCAAGCTAGACAATCGTTTACTAAGCGTTCTAACTATAAATCAATTTCTCTAATTATATCTAGGTATATCAGTAATTATGAACGGATTCTTAATCTTCTGCAACAGATAACTAATAATCTTTACAGATTAGTAGATGACTATCAGTAAAGGAACCATGGTGTTCGATAAATAAACCAGTATTTAGTGAATGAGTTACAATATTAGAGCTAACAAACGGTAAGACAATGAGACTAAGGATTGGTACGTAGTAATTCTTTCAGTTTCTTACAAACAGTACATACTGTAGAAAACATGAGGATGCCTCAGGAATAAAAGCCACAGAAGTTTTCAAAATAACTACACTGAACAAATAACAATTTCAGTTATGTTCACATACGGACAGGACCGACTTAGAATGAAGTTATGGGGGCAGTAATAATTAATCATCTTTAAGATGAAGTTAAGTGAAACAAGTATGGCAGAACTATACACACTGAAGCATCATACAGTAAAGCTATTACAGCCAAAATAACTTTCGCAGTCCACTATTCTACATTTGGCTCGAATTGCAAATGTCCCAAAATATACCCATAGGAGTGTGATGTTAAAACAAGTTTAATTTAAAAGCATTTAAAACTCCGAATTTGGAAAGCTTAAATCACAACTGCAAACACCAATCAACTGGTAATATGTAATTTGCGGAAACTGTACCTCAAGAGAGAATACAACGAATTAAAGATTGAAGGTTGCAGCGTCAACGCATACGTTTTTGAAGCCATCTCAATTCCAAAATTAGACAAGAATGATGAGGGCGAATGTGTCTCCCTAAATCCCCTACCAACTTAGGAACGATAGGAAAACGTGTAGTTACATGTTCTAACACTTATTCAAAGAAACTATATAGAACTGAACTAATTGACATAAACACCTAAACAATAATCGTAAACATACATGAGATCAAATCCCAGAATTCTAGTGAGGTTTTTGCTACTACGGTTTCACCATATTCAGTGATGAAACCAACATAATGGGATTCGATTATCGTCGCTTTATTGGTTGAAGTTGGAATGGTGAATCAATGGATTCTAATACAGTACCTTAAATAATAGTAAAGCGAACTTAAAGCATTTAAAGTCGATTCTAGGTGAGGTTATGAATGCCCGTTATCGAGAACTCTAGATAACAGAAGAAACAGCTCTCCCTAGTAGAAATCAATCCATGAATAAAAGTATTTTCACAACTAATTAACAAAGTAAGCTATATGAATTATTTCATCCATGATTTTCAACTAATGTTATAGAATAACGGAAACTCTTACGTTAAATATTTATTTCATTAGAAAGAAACATCAGCAGCTATATGTTCATGACAGGAAATAGTCGGAAGCACGCCATTTAAATTATTCGGATGTGGGATCAGATTACCCGACCGTTAATGCTACCTTGACGTGGTGGTCGGGCTTGCCTATCGCAATTAACCAATCGAGCTATACTGGCTGCAACTATCGTTCCTCAAGGTCCTACCATGTCAGACAGGTCGGTTGAAGAGCGTTAAGAATAAAGCAGCAAACCCAAGGTCCGAAGGCGAAGTCGTACTGCTGACTGTACAGAAATGTGACAGCAGTAAGATGTTTCCTTCAGACAGACAGCATAACAGCGATGCTGCATTCACACAAGGAGGGGTGGGGTTATTTATTTATTTATTTGAACACATATATATTGGTACAGGAGTGCGCCGAATATATATGCGCCACACAAAACAATCAGAATCTAAGAGAAAAAAAGTGAGGAACGTAAAATAGAAGTAATAATTATAACTATAAAAAAACAATAACGAAGAGATTGGTGTAAGGTAGTGTAGTAATAATAATAGCAATAGTAGGGGAACAGAAGGGTACAATCAGAAGAAATCTTTCAGTTAAGGAAGATACAACCACGCTTTATGAAGAAAGTAAAAGAAGGTTACAGCAGGATCGCCACTGGCTTCTATTCTGAGCCATATCTGATAACGTCTCTAGCCACTGTGTAGCACCATCTCTCAGACCCCAACCAGCGAGCCATGAAGAACCGACAGAATCCAGCCCTTTGCAGCTTTCTTTCATACCACGACACCATGTCATGCACTGACCACCTCTCCGCTTTTTCCAACCAGTCCTAGAGTCGGCAAATAATGCACGACGTGGAATTCTTTGGGACGACATTCGTACAACATGTCCAAACCACCGAAGTCGGCGTTTCAAGATGGTGACATCGATTGCATTATCATCTCTGTGCCCGAACACGCGATGCCATTGGATGTCAGCAATCCTTCGGAGACAACGATGATCGAACACAGAGTCGGCTAATATCCTCAACTCGGATAGACCAGCTTTCACAAGCATAGAGTAGAACTGCTCTCACCGACGCGTTGTAGATCCCACCTTTAACAGCCAGACTGATATCACGAAGGCGCCAAAGATGGCCCAGATTGGCATTAGCCGCTCTGGCTTTCACTATTCGTGCATTGATCTCATCACTCACACCCCCACCAGCACTTATGCAGCTACCCAGATACACGAACTTCTCGACTACTTCTATCTGCTCACCATCCAGAGTGAGTACAGGATTGGAATCCTGCCAGTCTTGTAGAAGAACTTTGCACTTCGAAGGTGCAAAGCACATACCATACCTACAGATACTGATTGCCAACTGATTAAGTGCGGATTGCATGCCTTGGGCATTATCGCACAGTAAGATAATATCGTCCGCATACTCAAGGTCGAGAAGTCTTTCTTCAGGCAAAAGATCCACACCGCCATTACTTACATCCATCAAAGCTGCTTCCAGAATGTTATCGATGGAAAAGTTAGCAAGGGATGATGAGATTAGGCAACCCTGTCTAACCCCACTGCCTGAATGGAACAATGGAGAGAGTTGGTTGTATGCCCTCACTCTGCCTGAGGTGTTTGTATATAGGGCTTTTAGGATGTTAATAAACTTCTCAGGCACACCCTTCTTCAATAGACAATCCCAGAGAACAGTCCTATCCAACGAATCGAAGGCAGCCCTGATGTCAAGAAACACTATGATTGTTGGTCTTTGATAAGTATGGCGGTGTTCTAACATTTGGAGGAGGGTGAAGATATGATCAATACATCCTCGACCAGAACGAAACCCAGCCTGCTCCTCGCGAGTCAATCTTTCTCGAGTTTTGAACAACCTACGAAGTATGACGGAAGCCAATAGCTTGGACGCAATCGGAAGTAGACTTATCCCCCGATAGTTGTTACAGGAACGACGTGAACCCTTTTTAAAGATAGGGACAACTACCGACTCATTCCATGACGTTGATATACTCTCTAGTTCCAGACCTTTGTAAACAACGTCGTCAATTCCTTAGTAAGAAAGTCACCATCATTTTTAAAAAGAGCCGGAGGTAAGACATCTGGGTCAGGTGATATGTAGCGCTTCAAGAGTTGGAGTTCCTTGCGGACTTGCTCCTCGTTTGGTGGGTCAGTCGTCACCGGCCATGGAGGGCAGGACAGTCTGACCGATGTTGCCGGAGCAGCAGGCCAGTTGAACTGCCCTTCAAAAAATTCTGCCCATCGTCCAAGACGTCGATGAATGTTAGTGATTGGTACCCCGTCATCCTCGTAGATTGTTTCGCTCACACCATACATCTTGCTGCCAGTGGCTCGGATGAGTTGGAAAAGCTTCCGGTAATTACCAGATGCAGCTGCTGCTTCCAGCTCATTAGCACGCTTCGACCACCAGGCTTCTCGGTCCTTACGCAAGCTTTGCCCAATTTCCTTACGTAACATCCTTCGTTTGTGGTCAAACTCACGGTCACCCGGAGTAGACTGACGGGCTTCAATGAGTTGTAAGGAACCTGAAGAAACCCAGTGCTGAAAAGCGGGAGGTTTCGCGAACGCACAACTGACTGTACCCGCTATTTTCATGGCGTCATGCAATTGCAACCAATGCTCATCTATACTTTTCCGTGGAGTGGTAGCTAGCCTAGAGGCTAGCTCGGTTCGATACTTACTTGCAACAGAAGTTGCAACCAGCTTGCTAATATCAATCCTTTGGTGGCGGTCACTTCGTTGGCCACTGAAAAGTAAGGTAAGATTGGCGCAGACCGAGGCATGGTCAGAGTCCAGATAGGTACTCCCAAAGGAGCGGCAGTCTTTTACACAACCACGCCAGCGGTAGCTGATCGCGATGTGATCAATCTGAGTCCAGGATTGAGATGCAGAGGGACGACGCCAGGTGGCACATCGGCGATGACTGTGCCGAAAGTTAGTGCTAGCCAGAAACAGGTTGTGGTCTGTGCACAGTTGCAGTAGACGGTCCCCGTTATCTGACCTGCGACTAACAAGTCCCCATCGGCCACCTACACGACTCTCTTATGTGCCTAGATGCCCGACCTGAGCATTCAAGTCTCCGGCTAGTACTACAATATCTGTCGAACGCACTTTCTGGAGAAGAACAGATAACTGGTGGTAAAACTCATCCTTGATTGCTTCCGGGCTGCAATCTGTCGGGACATAGGCTGAGATGACGAAAAGACATCGTTTCTCACGCCGATTTCTTCTCACTTTGATGGAACTTTCTAATCTAACAGCACATAACCGACTGTTAATGGGGATCCAATCGACTAGTGCTGCCTCAGCTCTAGCGCTTAGTGCGACACCAACGCCAGCAAGACCAGACGAAGATGCCACAGGGTCCCCGGATAAGCGCACGTAAAACAAGCTTTTTGAAGTGACAGATGTAGAGCGAATTTGTAGTACTTCACCAGAGTCTTGAATACGGGTCTCGGATAGACAGCAGACATCGATATGAAGACTTTCCAAAGACATAGCCAGCCCTATCTGTTGTCCAACCTGCATAAGTGTGCGAACATTGAAGGCAGCCAGTTTGAATGGTGCACGTGGTTTCAGAAAAACTGCTTCAGTCCTTGTATTCGGTGGTAACATACAATTTTCAACTGGACAGTGACTCGAGAACGTTTAGATACAGTCGAATTTCCACCATAGACGAGCTGATGTATAAGTCGAAAAAATAAGTATAAAGAGAGTGTGAATAATGACGTAGTAAATAATAATAATAATAATAATAATAATAATAATAATAATAATAATAATAATAATAATAATAATAATAATAATAATAATGATTGAATCATTTGAATGTTCGTCGAAGCAAGAGAATAAGTTTCCATGATCATAGACAGTTCAGTTAATTAATTGTGTGTGGGCTGCGATACTGCCTGGGTGAGCAAACCGAAGTAGGTGGTTTTCTTAGGGGGCCACTCCCCGAGCCTTCGACCTGAAGGTCTGACCCACAAGGCAGTGGAGCATCGTAAGGAGATACAGTCCCATGGTTGCCGGTGACAAACAATTGGTTCATACGCCATGTGTTCCACAGGATACTGGAGCCCATGTGCAACATTGATTTGGAATCCGGTTAAAGCGTCGGACATTCGCTTTTCGTCCTCGCAATTTCGTAAACAACACCCCCGCCACGAGAAGGCAGTGAGTAGGACTCCCCTGGCAGAGGCTGTATACCCGTGGCCGTGTGAAAGTATTTCGAGAGGGAGGGCGAACCCACCCCGCTCTCGGCCATACCAGGGCATTTGGGGACAGGGGGTGGGGTTAGAAAAGGTCGACCCTAAAAATGCACACCTCGCCTTGTCCCATGGATATCCGTTTCCGGCGGGAAGGTCGCAACAAGTACGGAACTGACACGGAAATTACTCATAAAAAGGTCGTGTGTGACCGACCTCAAGCAGTTTTCCCTTGGGCACTGCGGTTGCGCTCTTAGGTCACTAAGACCACCTCTAATCCAATTTTCTTTTCAGGCACCTCCAGAAGAACCCTTCCACGGTGTGGGCAACCGGGAATCGATAACCGCCGCCCTCATACCTCTAACAACACTCAGGAACACTAAGGGATCAGATGAGAATATTCATCTCAGAAGTATATTAAAATATTTTGACAAGAATTTAAGGTATGATTTCTATTAGCATTAGCCATCAGATGGAACTAATTTTCAAGTTTTATCTTAAATAATTTCACCCGTTAAATATATGTGTCAATAATTTCAATCCTAGAAAGTTAACCGATCAAAATTATTGTTATATTCAATGTAAAAACCAAAGGAAATTAAAACAGTTGTTAGATGATGATTCATTGTCGATGTAATCTTGGCCTAATTATAAATGATATCGTATAGAATGAAACAATAGTGAAAGTATCCAAAACTAACTTTAAGCTCAATAATAATGAGCATCAACAAATCGTATGTACTAGAAATCATTACATCTAGTACTGACTTGAATACATACAAATTCAAGAAACTCTTAACACTGAAACTTTAAATGTTCTACACTCAAAATACATAAGGGATAGAAATCTTTATGTAAATATAATAAAATACATTTCTTAACTACATTAATTTATAAATAAAGGGTTAGTTATTGAATGCAAAGTGGTATAACTACAATCAATACTATAATATTGAATGATCCATGCATTATCTTTCGTGAACAAATATAGCCACGCGTATATAGCCTCTGCCAGGGAAGTTCTACTCACTGCCTTCTCGTGGCATCGCTGTTGTTTACGAAATTCAGAGGACGAAAGGCAAACGTTCGGCACTTTAACCGGGTCTGTGGACATGGAGAGTTCACCTAGGAGAGTTGGAAAACCCTAAATCCAAACCAATGGTACACAAGGGCTCCAGTATCCTGAAGGAACAAATGGCGTATGAACCAATCGTTGGTCATCGGCAACTATGGGACTGCATCTCCTTACGTTGCTCCACTGCCTTGTGGATCAGACCTTCAGGTCAAAGGCTCCAGGTGTGGCCTACTAAGAAAACCACCTGCTTCGATTTGAGCACTCGTGGCAGTATCATAGCCCTTACACATATCAAATGAGATCTGCGTGGCGCATATGTTTTTGGTGCTTCCTTGTACCAATATCTGTGTGTTAAAATAAATATAAATAAATAAATAAATAAACAAATAAATAGAACAAACAGATACAGATACACTTTGAACTTTATAAGAACAAACATACACTAAATGCTACTCTTGACAAACAAACAACAATAACAGCTATGTTGAAAATGACTTTCAAATATCTAATATAAACATTCTCATGAATAGAAAAAGAAAAATCACCATAAAGTAGTATCATTTAAAAAGAGAAAATAAAACAACAAATAATGTTATATTTATTATGACAACTAAAATAATCATATACAAAGACATAAGACATAATAAACATAATAATCATGTTATCATCATGAATAAACAATTTATTATAATGAAGTTAATTGATAGTGATCAAATGATTTGCATTATAATTATTATCCAAATGAAGCTTTATAGATAATGTTCTAGGTGTTGTAATATCACTAACATGAATTATTTGACCATTAATAAGACCAAGTTCTATTAATAAATAAATAAATATAAATAATCAATGATAAGCATACTTAAATACAATAGAATGATGTTTACACTCGAAAAAATTATTGAATTTATTCTAAATGTTATTAAAACATTAAGATGAATAACTATTTTAATATTATAGTCCAATCATTTAGATATGTTGTTAACTTTGAATTCATCAGTCAATTGAAGCTAGAAAATTTGGAAACACTGAACGGTTTTTTCGTCCTAGTACAGAACTCCTCAGAAGTGTGCATCCACGATCTCGTCTTGCGAGATTCGAACCCAGAGTCTATCAGTCTTGCATATGAGTGCTTATCCACTATACCACTGAGTTGGTATCCAACAGTGTGAATGTCTTCTATAACTAAACTTTAGAATTATAATAAATAGATCTGAAAAAATTAACAGATTTTATAAAGTGAATGTCCAGCGCTCTAACAGGGTTGGTGGACATGGAGGGTCCACTTAGGGGAGTTGAAAAACTGTGATTACAAACTAATGGTGAACATGGGCTCCAGGATTCTGAGAGATCAAATGGTGTATGTACCAATCATAGGTCACCGGCTACCATGAAACTGCATCTCCTTACGTTGCTCCACTGCCTCGTGGATCAGACCTCAAGATCAAAGGCTCCGGGTGTGGCCTCCTAAGAAAACCACCTGCTTCGGTTTGGGTACCCGGAGAGTATTACTGCCCTTACACAAATCTCATTTGATTTGTGTGGCGTATATGTATTTGGTGCCTCCTTGTACCAATATCTATGTGTTCAAATAAATAAATAAACTGAACGTGGAAATAGAAATCGTATTAAGTAAGACATAGTTTGAACATTGTAAACAAAAAAAGAAGGATATCAGTTGATTTAATGCATTCATCAAGAGCTCCGTACTAAATCTTCATAATAAAAAGTTTGAAACTTTAAATATAGGCTATATAACGATATATACAAGTTTATATTCATTACATTTATGTATCAGTAGTTAAAAATCCACATATTTTTTATCTTCTGTTTGATATTTGACTTTCAACAATTCTTAGTGCATAACATTCGACTGTTTTTTGGACTATATTCTTTATGCTTATTCCTTTTCACTGTCATTAATACTATATTTCGATATCTTTTGTCATTTAGACCGTTAACTTCATACTTTTTTATTGAAATTATGAACATATCAATGTTAGACCACCATTAAAAACCTGGAAGCATTGGAAAGTCCTTTCGTCCTAATATGGGGCTCATCAGCAATACGTCTCCGCGATCATGCATGTGAGATTGGAATCCAGCACCCTCGACCTTGCACGCAAACGCTTAACCCCTAGACTACTGAGCCGAGGTCAAAAAGTGTTAGTATCTTGCTACAACTAATCCACGATGTTGTGCGACCAACTTCCATTGTCTGCAATGGGTAACTGCCTCACACCCGACATGGCTCAATTTCACTGGTCATGGCTTCTTACTAGAACTCTGACAATTACCTTTTTAAACTATTCACTAGTGAGCATATGATACTTACTAGTATAAGGTTGTGGAGATTATTGGGTTTTTATTGAAATCATGAACCGATCGATATGAGACCGCCATCTTCAACCAATCCACGATATTGCACTGCTGAGGAGCTCCATAGTTGGACGAAAGGGCCGTCTAGCGCTTCCAGGTTTTCAATGGTGGTCTAACATTGACCGGTTCATGATCTCCATAAAAACCTAACAATCTCCACAACCCTATACTGATAACTTCACATTGTTGTCATAATAAGGTATGGGAATTAGGCCCAAAGGACATCTGCGCCAAGCTCTACATTGATGATGATCAACACCTCGATGTCGATGTGCTGATGTGTCGGAGTGTACAGGACAAGCTGTGAACCACATGTGGAGAAATCCGAATACTTGATTTCTACCTGAAGTTTCTGCTGACAACGTCGTTCAAAAGAACAAATAAAGCTCCACGGCTAAAACATCCAGCGCATAGAACCAAACTACATTAACATCATTCACCTGAGCTACAAATCTCCACCATCTCAGCATACACCATATTAATACTTACAGATTTGCTGCAACTATGTGCCAATAGCAAATTTATCTAGCTAAGTAATAACAGTTAATCAGATTGATAAATTACTTAAATGAAACTAAACATCGATTCGTCAGTATTCCGAAGATTTATAGATTAATTGATCATAATTATCTATCAGTCTATCAGACAGAGACTGTTAAGATTTTCAACTTTAAACAGCTATAAAGTCGGTTAGACGAAAAAATTTTTGAATGAACTGGCAATAGAACACATACCGAGACAAGATTATCAGATATTATTTATAAAAATCAACTTGTAAAATGGCTCAAATTCACTTTCGAAAGTGGAATTAAAGTTAAAACTAATGGAAAGTATTGGAAAGTCATTGTGTTTTGCTTTGTAACTATAGATTCTAGATTCAAATATGGAAAGAATTGAAGTTAGTGATCAAAAAGGTTACTTCTAGCATTTCTTCGACTGATGTCATTTCATACCAAGAATTATCTTCAAATATATTCAATCTTCCAAAACAGGAATTGAATTATTAAGATTTAAAATAAACGTTACAACTAGAAAAAATATTTAAAATATGAATTCACTTTATTTAAATAGGTTGAATAATACTGAAGTAAGAAAACTTGAATAGTTAATATGCCTACCTTGAAGAGTTTTAGACAAATTCGGTTTAAGTGTATCAACCAGTTCTGGAAGATTGATATACAATGAACGATGTTGATCTTCAATAATTGTTGTTATACTGGGTGACTGCATTTGACTAGAAAATAGGACAAAATATGAAGTGATATATATATATATAATACTGATGAAGCCATTATTTATCACTTTTCATGTTAGAAATATTCAAGGACTTATCCACCGTTAAACATGCTTTACGTATAAAAAATAAATTAGTCGAAGGCGCTAATCGCTTTAAATATGTTTGCAGTTACAACAGATTCATTGGACTGTTTGCCGATAATAATAATAAAGTATGTATGTGAAAGGTTTGACTAAAAACAACCACTATAAAGTAACAATATGTTTTATTCTGTTATAGAACTGTGATATGTAGTTATGGAAAAGAGGTATTAAGTAGTTAGTGTTCCAATTGCATCATGTTTACAACATGTTATAACGATCGGATTTTCCTTGTCTACACGAATGGGAAGTCAATTTGCTTTAGACGAATATCTACACCAGATTCCCTCCCAGTGTCTACTCTACAGATCAAAATCACATGATTAGCCTGACTACAATGTAAATGTATTTCCACATCAAAAACCGACAATAAGCCGACACAATCCAGTAATAATAATAATAATACGGATAGGAGAATATATAACTCATCAAACACCTGTCAGACTATCTACAAGTCTGACTAAGCAAACACCGAATCATTATCATTCTCACCCACAAATCACATCGGATGTGACCAGAAAAAAGAACGTAATTTAGTTCATGTAAATCTGAGATTGTATTGTAAGGTATAGTCACTTATCAATATATCTAATGAACTACATTGACTAGTGCTCTCTTAAAGTAAAATAACACTCACATATGGTTAAATATCTGTATTATATTAGTAGACTGAATGATGACGATACAATCACTTACAATACAAGACGATATACGTAAAATTCTAATGGGTACTGGAGAAAATAAGATTATTTTAAATGGGAATACACTTATTAGTACATCGATGAAAAACTCCACAATAACACGTAGAGATATTGTGAAGGTGCAATAATAAAAAACATGAAACTTCCATAATATAATAATATAGGTTTCTCTATTGTCGTTTAGTTTACAAAACATTTTATAATAATAGTACAATACTCACAACTCAGGATCTGTCTTCAAAACATTTATAACATCTCTTAATGTACAAGTAGTCTGCAATCGAAGAGTTCGTGGCACATTGTTACAGGCAAAACAATCAGCCTATAGTAAGTTTTCAAAATAGAAAATTTTCAACAAATTAAATAGGACATTAACAATAAATGCTGACCATAAATAATCGAAAATAAATATAATAAGTTCAGTCGATCCGTGATTTAGCACAATCCTTCAGCCGTTGTTTGAAGTGAATAACTGTCTCCACCCGACACAGATTGGACTCTACTGGTCACGGCTTCTCACTAAGACAGTTATCCACCTCAGACAATAGATGAAAGGATATGCAAGACCATAGATCGATTGAAGTTAGACATTAACACCGTTGGATGCCAGATCAGTGATCTAGGAGTTAAGCATTCTGAAAATATGATAACTGTTCGTTGAAAATTATAAGAAAATATCAAAGGATCGTATTGTCATAGTCAATAAACATTACTTGAATAAAACTGGAATCATGTAAATAAATTAGCTACACACAGTTCCCTTTATTATCTCAAAGCGAGCAAAAACAAAGATATACATATATATACTAACAATGTCAATGATCAAAAGTTTTATTTTCCATGGTATTTCTTAGTATATTAAAATTTATTGCAGAGAACTTAAATAAATCGATTGATTTGATCTCGTAACACAATGCCATGATTTTTCTGAATCCCACTTAATAGAAACTTATTCAACCCAATTATATTAACTTCTATGAAACGCTTTTTGGAAGAACAGACGCAATCTCTTGTGACTACATCTCAGTCCTACAGGAGGTCGGTCGCGGCCCACATAGCTTAGTGGTAACGTCTCTGACTGTGAAGCTAGGTGACACGGGATCGAATCCGTCAGGGAGCACCAGTTCCCTCGACATTACAGGTACACCTTGCTGATGAGTGCCAAATAGCACGAAACACGAGTCCAGGGTTTCCTGTTGACTACCTCCAAGCACCATTTAAGACACAATCTCTACATAACTCGAAAATACATAACAAGATTTTAGTAACCTATAATACATCATAAATCAAAGCGTAGAAGAAATGAATGAGACAAGTGGAAAAATGTCTAAAAAGAAAGTCAAAAGATTAATAATTTAAGGCTTACAATTGAACGTGAAACTGTGTGAAAAATACTTCACCTTTATATCATTTAGAAGTAGTAGTTAACGAAAAAACTAGGAAACAGATTACAGGCAATCTTAAAAACATCTTTATGATATTTATAAGATAGATTGTGTATCAATTTTTCCCAATGTCGTCGGTGTAAAGGCTTTGTAGTTTAGATACTCGATCTAGAACCTTAGGATCATGGGTTTAAAAGGAATTTGATCAGGTTCATTTCTAGTTGCCTGAATGCATGGAACATAGTCATACAAAAAAAGTAATTTGACTGAATAAACAAATATAAACGCATAAAAAGCATTTAATTTGCGATTTCAAATCCGAAGAGAAACCATAAGGATGAATTGTTTTCTATTTATTAAAGACATCAAAGAAAAGCAATTAGAATCACTTACTTTGCGTTCAACAGAAAAACCATAGGTATAAACTCCATCAATATCACTGAAATTCATGTAATTATCTAAATAATTGTAACAGAATGTGATTAGTTTGAAGACCTGTGAAAGAGAATCGGCGAAGACATAAAAAATCAATGTATTTAGAGGACTTAAATGGCATCATATAAATTAGTCACTGTAATTCCATACTCTGATGACTGATTACGTAAAGCTATGTTGTTTTTTTTTCTGTAAAGAGGATTGATCTGAATTAGTTTTTGACTCCAACCACAACGACGTGTATAGATACATAACACGCCATACAGCTAACTGAAGTGCCTTAGGAGAACAGTTTATCTACTTATTTAAGTACATAAATCCTAGTGCAGTATTGAAATAAAACTCAACACATAAATGAAGTGATAGCTAAGTGAAGATAAAAGAGTGAACATCAACTCTGGAATGCAGGTACATCCAGCTGACGAGTCCCGAATAGAACGAAACGCGCGTCCTGGATTCCATTGCTATCCACCATTCACCTTTGCTTATGAAAAGGGAATGGTTGCAAAAGCTGTAAATTGTTAAACAAGAATAGCAATTTCCTAAAAATCCTGTTTAAAAACAGCCAAAAAAGATTCTCTTTAATTTAGGAAGCTCCCCTCAATTTTAAGAATAATGTAAAAGACAAAACCAGGATCGTCACAAGATTTGTCATGACCTCCAGTCTTCGTATACGTCTTTAATCAGAATACAATACACCCACACTAATTCTAAATTAGGAAAAAGAATTTATGAAGTGAAATTATGAGGTAACACAATCTACAAATTCAAAATTAATCGGCATTATGGGGTTGTGAAGATTGAAGTTTATTAAAATTATGAACCGATCTAAGCTAGATCACAACTGAAAACCTCAAGGCACTGGGATACCGTTTCTTCTCAGTATGAAACTCCTTAGAAGTGCATAACTCCAACTTCGCATGCGGGAACCGAACCCAAAACGTTTGGTCTCGCACGCGAATATTAACTAGTTACAGTGGGTTGCATTTTATTGAATACCAACAACATAGAAAGAAGTAAAGTCGACTTATTTAGAAGACCAACCTCAGTTGCACATGCAGCTGCGATAACAGCATTTGTAGAAGCAACAGCAGGGATTATTCGCTTTACGACACCTTGTACAAGACGTAGTGTAACACCTGAAATTCCGAATTGTTTAGCCCTTTCACATGACTTTTCATATATCCATTGTATGTGTTCAGGTGAATCGCCGTCGATTGCAACATTACCTGTGAAAACAAAATATGATAAACAGTAAGAAAAATTATGAGTAATAGTAATAATAATAGCTTTATTCAATATTATAAATGCCCTGGTACGGCCAAAGATGGTGAAAGTCTGCTTTCCCTCTAGAAATCCTCCCACATGGTTATGGGTGTATGGCCACTGACAGGGAATTCCTACTGTTAGCGGGACATAGACTGGATTAAAGCATGCTCAATGCACGATTGCTTTGGTGCACGCTGATTGGCTAATTCTTACCCAATCAGCACTAGCCGACACTTGGGGACTACGCTAGAATCTTCTCATGTACAAACTATAAATATACTAATGCCTTCCCCTATTGCACTACTGACTTGCTTTTTACTTCCAACTAACCTTGTTATTTGGAATATAATCTCTTTCCTGTTCAACCGTGTTCCGATTTGGGGACTTGTCGAGTGAATCGGTGTCCAAGAATACTAAGCAATAGGAATAGCTGGGTCATAACCGTAAGAAAGAGATTATAACACCTACTCATTGCATTCTCGAGACGGCGGTATTGTTTACGAAATCGAAAGGATGAAAAGTGAATGTCCGACGCTTTAACAGGGTTGGTGGATCCACCTAGGGGAGTTGGAGAACCCTGATTACAAACCAATGATACACATGGGCTCCAAGATCCTGAGGGACCAAATGGCGCATGAACCTATTGTTTGTCACCGGCTAGCATGTGGTTGCATCCCCTAACGTTGCTCCACTGCCTTGTGGATTAGACCTTTAGGTCAAAGGCTCAGGGTGTGACGCCCTAAGAGAACTACTTGCTTCAGTTTAGGCACCTAAGAAGTATCACGGCCCTCACATAAACTAATGATAACTACTACTAACCTCATTGTTATTGCATGGCGCATATGTATTTGGTACCTCCTTGTACCAATGTTTATGATTTCAAATAAATAAATATGTTACAGTACAGAACAAGAAAAGGTTGGCAGGAATGTTTGAGAATTTCAACGACTGTGATGACTGAATTATGAATCATGACTAAATGACCGCAACGCATCTCAAACATGATATGCTCGCCGCAACAATAAAACTTTTAGGATAGCGCCAATATATAACGTCTCTTACTTGTTAAGAGTCAGACAGACGTCATCAACATAGAACCTGGCACAGCTGTTTGTTGACACAAGTTAGCACACCAGATTGGCACGAAAAGACGAAAACAACAAAAGATATCGGTTTTAGTATATATTATATATATACATATTATTCAGGCTAATAGTTTAGACGCTACATTAGCCAGACTGATTCCTTTGTGGTTATTGTAAGTGAATGTTTTCCTTTCTTATGAACTGGAGCAATAAGTGATCAATACTAATCAGATGGGATTGTACCTATTTCCTAGACTCTAGGTAATATATCAGTTAACTTAACCGATTGTGTCCAAACTATTGGCTAATCATACTCGTGTAGGTTTTTCTAAACCCGAGAAAGATTGACTCGCGAAGAGCAGGCTGGGTTTCGTTCTGGTCGAGGATGTATTGATCATATATTCACCCTCCGCCAAATGTTAGAACACCGCCATACTTATCAAAGACCAACAATCATAGTGTTTCTTGACATCAGGGCTGTCTTCGATTCGTTGGACAGGACTGTTCTCTGGGATTGTCTATTGAAGAAGGGTGTGCCTGAGAAGTTTATTAACATCCTAAAAGCCCTATATACAAACACCTCAGGCAGAGTGAGGGCATACAACCAACTCTCTCCATTGTTCCATTCAGGCAGTGGGGTTAGGCAGGGTTGCCCAATCTCACCATTCCTCTTCAACTTTGCCATCGATGACATTCTGGAAACAGCTTTGATGGATGTAGGTAATGGCGGTGTGGATCTTTTGCCTGAAGAAAGACTTCTCGACCTTGAGTATCCGCATGATATTGTCTTACTGATTTTCGTCCAATTACTGGCTAACCTTGGTTCTTTTTCTTCACTCCGTCACCAATTGTTAAATCTAGAAGCTAAGATTCCTAATATACTGCGTATAACTTAAGCACTCGAACGCAATAACCCCCCAAGTCGCAAATAAGAGAACAGAAGAAAACTGGAGAAAGTGCTTGTTGGACAAGTTATAACAATTGGCCACGGAGTGAAGAAAAAGAACCAAGGTTAGCCAGTAATTGGACGAAAACCAATGTAATTATTTCGAACAATCACCATACAGAGTTGCCGTCGATGTCCTTGGACGAAATTGGTTGTTAATTAGTCATACTGTCTTTTCTATTACCGTGCTGATTCATACAGAAACGGAGAATGGCTCTCCTGATCAATTGCAGCTGCTATTTCAGCGACAACAGCAGTGTTTTAAAAAGAATCCGTTGGAATTTATAGACAAACTACACACACGGCTACTGAATCATCCATGATTCGTAGATGTGACGGAAGTTAATGAATTAATTTCCAAATTGCATACAGAACTGGAAAATGACTGCAGAACGTATGAACGTGTCGATGAAAGCCTCCGGGAATCCTTGACAAGCATTAATATAAACGAAGCAGTATCAGTCACTTATGATCCGCCCAGTCGTCCAGAAACGTCCATTTTAGAGACATGCCCTGTAGTGGGTTCAAATCCCATTATCCCTGAAACAGAATGTGCAAACAGTGACTTGTCCAGCTCACAAAAAGACTAGTCATGTCAAGTGTTTATGAAATTGCCGCAGTAACCACCCACGAAGAAAAAGAAAATAAATCGAGCAGTATAATGAACGCAGTTGCACCAAATGAAATTAATCATTCTACGATAAAAGTTTCTGATGAATCTAATTATTGGGATTCTCTAGTTGTTTTACCAGGTATGGGCTATCTTAACGATTCGAATGTTCTTAATGAAATTTCTTATAAAAATGAGAAAAATATGTCGGATACATCAGATGATAATCAAGAACCTAACGCAATTTTGATGGATGCTGATTATTCTAGTGATCCATTATCTACTAATGAGATTTTCAATAAATTTGATGAAAATGTTTCAGAAGAATCAGACCTTGATGACCGCAAATCCAGTGGCGTTTATCCTCACTATCTAGTCACTTTTAGTGGATTCTCTATTCAATACGGTAAACATGTTTCAAATAAAGTCACGTTAATTGTAACTTGAGGACAAGAGGATCCAACACTAATTTGTAGGGGAGGATAAAGTCCGAATATCAACTCCGGATCTTCAAAAAAGAGGTGTTATATCCCGATGAGAATAATGAGTGGTAACTGTTGGAATCTATTTCTGGACTAATACTATACATATGTTTTTATCGTATAATTGTTAAGTAACTAAACTATTTATATTCGTGTTCCTCTTATTGAAAGTTTTATTTTGACCTATGAACTATTATAATACGATTTACCATTCTTCGGCTATGCACAATTACCGTCTCCCACACTCACAGCCACTTTCGGTTATATCTTTTACAAATGTTATTTTTTATTTTATAGTACAATGTGGTCTGTTTGGTTGGCATACAAACTCAGTGTGTTTGAAATAAATGATTCATATCGCAGAGGCTGAGATTGATGTTCTGCACATAACAGACAGAGCTAGGCGGGAGGCAAGACCGATAAAGACTCTAGACTGCTCGTACGGATTTTATGCGTCATTGGTTCGGTCGATAAATCACTATTCTCTAATTAGCAGGCACAAGTTATAAAAGTAATTTTTGTACTTTGGAAGCACAATATACATTAACGGCACAAGATTCTAGGGTCTTAGATAGTGATACCTGTTGCCCGACTTGATATGGGATCCAAACATTAAAAGTTCTAACATGTAGTTTGAAGCGGAGTTTCAAAAGACCTGAAACAGTATTTTGTAATCTCGAACTGTTAGCTTTTATGGCACACGTTGAAGAAGTAGAAGATGAGAGTTGATAATGAAGATGGAATATTTGGTGAAGATAGAATTCCGGGTAGAGATATGAGGTTAGCTGTCACTTTTCTGTTGCCCATACTGTGGAAGGATTTTTCTTCTTGGGAAACCCAAAGAATAAACTGGATTAATAGTGGTCGTAGAGACTTAGGAGTGATTATGGAGCTCAAGAGTAAACTGCTTGAGGCCGGTTAGACAAGGTCCTTATGTGGCAAGTTTTAGATGTCTTAGCAGTATTTTGATATAACTCACCACAGTTGGTAGGACAGCCATCTGTAGACTGACTCGCCAAACACTAAATGGGCAGATTTATGAGGTCAATCATATTTGATTTTAAGGTGTGTAGAATACTGGCAGTCAGTCAGCTACAATATTGGCAACCAAAGATATACACACTTCTTGTGAAATCACAAAGATATTGATGAAAGGTAATGTCTGACTATCTACATTGCTTACACAATGAGCTACTCTATGATTATATATATATGTACCTCAAAACAAGGTTCATTGAAAATGGTGAGCCACACTAATATCCTCTCGTATTAAAATCAGTGCTTCCTTTTCTAGTAGCGACAATGTTAGGACGAATGACTAGACACTTCCGACCGTTTTCAGCAGTGTATTAGATAAAAAAGTTGAACATCTTTGCTTAAATACTGGACACTAACTTACTTCCAAATGGATTGTCTTTTGACCATAACAGTATTCTCACATATTCTATGCAATGTTCTGGAAGACGAGGAGTATGCGCTATAGTACATAAGGGAAAATTGGTTGGTGGTGGGTATAGGTCAAGTGTACATTCTAGGCATCCAGTCAGGCCATACAGAACAACAAGGACATGTCCTTTAAATCCCTCTGTCCCACCGTCAACAAGTGGTATGACAGTGTTTGGATCTGGTTGACCATCTGGATTATAACGAACCAGACTTGCCTATAATACAGAAACGAAAAAAAAGACAAAAACATTACAGACATTCGACATACGGTGGGCAATTAGAAAATATTTAAAAATCAACCCATGTGGAAACAGTGCGCTCGCTAAATAAAAAAATACCATTTTTGATAGTATCAAATGGGAACAATTTATTGTCAATAAAATGCAGTCTTGATACCGATACATCATAAATAATAGTTGGAATATTTTAAGATGGACCAATTCATGTGTTATAAGTCGAAGAGCCATTACCTTAAAGAAGTGTCAGTCAGCAATTATGATGATTGATGATAATGTGAAAGTAGAATTTACTTTAAAACATGGCAACATACATTAAGAAGAATGATCTGCAAGTGTCTTGAGCATGAATTTACACTTTATTCGACTGCTATAATGTCTTAATGTATTTGTTTAACAAACTACATTTCGATACAACAGAAAGAAGTAAAACGGAGGTAAATATAAAGATATAAGTGCATACCATCACCTTCGATTCATATTACTTTCTACTTGGCCATTATGACACTATTTAGAATAAACAGATTCCTAACACAACTCTTTTGTCATTACATAGAGCGCTATCATAAACTGAATCGTTTTCGTTTGCCGATGGAAAGTCAGGTTTGTCTAAACGAAATCCATTGTAATGAAATAAATAAAACACACTTATAATGACAATCGCTTTACTTAATGTTATGTTTAGTACGACATAGAATTCTTCGCATATAATACTTACGTTTTTTTGGCTCTTCATAACCAAAAAATGTACAAAATTATGCAAATAAACTGACTTTTTTATAAAAGGACATTTCTGAGAACAGTAATTAATATGAATGCATGTCCACTAGGAAACATTTTCGTTAGGGTCAGCCGTTAAGACATTTTCCACATACATTATGAGTGATGGATACAGAATCCCCGAAACTTCTTCACTGAACATAAATTTGAATGTACCTGCGTCTTGTCATGTTATAAGATATACACGGTGGACGACATGAACCTAGTACGTAGTTTGTTTCAGACAATAGCGATTGACAGCTGTTTGAGATATTTATCAACAACTATGTTTACAGTAACACCAAAAGATTTAACCCACTCCAGCTAATATCTAATCCAACCAACACAGCAAAATCATTTCTTAATAGTCCATAAAAAATAATACAGAATAGTATAGGATAAGTAATGTGCAATAAATTACAAATTGTAAAGGTATCCAGCAGTGATAAAACACATAGCAGATTTATATGAAAAGTTAAGCGCAAAGTGTTTCTCAATATACAGGAGAACGGATAGCACAAAAGAAATTAGAAGTAGAAATTACGCCGCAATGTGACATTTGACATAGTTTTCCCCAATCTCCAATAATAGATTACTGCGATTCCAGTACAATGATAAGGTCCTTTTCGTATGTTACATACACAAAATCTGTTATATGCTGGTTCTTGTAGACTCGTTTCATTAAATATACCTAAACATTTTCACTGTGAAAAATACACCTTTGTCCTGAAAATACCATTGGAAATGCTTAGTAATGAAATATATAAAACAATACATGACACACCAGCATAGAATTAATCCACCGCCGAGCTGTGACTGAATCCAGACCACAAACCACAGCATTAAATTGTTTATAAAACGGCGCACCGAAATCTTGAATTTTATTGTAGTGTGGGACAACTTTGCATGTTGGAATGCGGCGCATGATAAAATCCGCTGCAACATTGGCTTTCGGTTTGCCGACATCGTGAGATCGGAACAGAAATTGTCTGTTCAAATTGGAAATATCGATTATGTCCATGTCTATGACCTCCAGATGACAAAACCCCATCATAGCCTACACTTAATAATAGTCGCAAGATGTAAACCTACAAGGTTTTTCAGAAGCTCACAACCCAAACCTCCAGCTCCAATGACAAGGATTTTCACATGTTCTCTAACCATGCTTAAGAGCTTGAAATTTCGCGGGATTAAAAATTGCACAAACTTCATTTGACGGCTCGAATTCTGACCGATGAAATGGACCAGAACGTCCAAGAATGCATTTAAGGTTGCTCCACTTTTTGTCAGAAATCACTGAAGACATCGTACGTTTATTCTCCAGAATGGTTTCTATTGGATTATATATCTGGAAAGTGAAAAGCACACACATATTTCACTCTAACGGCTTAATTAGTCTTTATAAAAATCTGTTAGGAACAAAAAGAGAAACAATATATTATTTTTCGAGATAAAAGATAAGCTTCGGCAAAAACTAGCAGTATGAGCTTTAGATGCAAGTGTGGGACGGATTATGAGTGACTTAAGCAATAATCATGTGTCACTGAATGATTTGTGTGTATTGTCTGAATGACTTCATTTATGATAACAAAGTCATTGATTTTGTGACGAAAATCATGGACAGCGATCTACCTAATTAAACAGTAGCATATTCTTAGAGGGCGCTGATATTAAAGCTGTGACGAACTATTGTAAAGCATCATCTTAGAACTTCAATAAACTGTAAGATTCCCAACTGTTCCCATACAGCACAGCAATGATTTGGGCTAAGTTTACCCCTACTATGGCTTGTAAAACTGTATTTTAGGATCCAGGCAACTGACAACAGTTTAAAGCAATTCAGTAACAAAATGCACGCTCAAACATTCGGGTTTGTGGCATTGATCGGTTGAGACCGAATTACATCGATCAGGCTTTAGATCCAATAGAATGCCAAAAACAATTCGTCAAATCTGGTGAAACGACGTTCACTTTGCATTTTAGTGACTGTACACGGTCACTGTAGATCTATAGAGAGTAGGCGACCTAATGGCTTTGGTGATAAGAACAAAGACGAGACAATCAGCTACAAACATGCAAGGTTCTTATAAATGTAACAGATAGGTGATATCAAAACTGGCGAGACTCTAATTTAGCGACGAGCCAATCAGAAGCGTTTGAGCAATTTCAAGGTCACGGAGCCAAGTTCAACACGCGATGCTAACATACGGTCGGTTCACAGCGGATTTTAGAGAGGAGGTGATTAATGAGAGGTTAAAACAGATGGGACGGCGAGACTCTAATTTAGGGACGAGCCAATAAGAAGCGTTTGAGCAATTTCAATTATTAGCCAATCAGAAGACAGTATAAAGTAAAAATATATTACAAGAAAGTAATGAATTACAGTGGATATTCTTTTTCTACATGATTTAAAAACTTGTTGAGGTTTGATAAAGGCTCAGAAGTTCTGAATTCATAATGCATATTGTATAGAAACTCGTCCATAGGGTTAGCGTTTGGGGTTAAGGGTTAGGTTAGGGTTAGGGTAAGTTTAGGGTTTAGGGCTAAGGTTAGGGTTTAGGTTTATGGTTAGGGTTAGATTAGGGTTTAGGGCTAAGGTTAGGGTTTAGGGTTAGATTAGGGTTTAGGGTTAGGGTTAGATTAGGGTTCAGGGTTAGGTTAAGGTTAGATTAGGGTTTAGGGTTAGGTTAAGGTTAGGGTGCTAACATGCGATCGGTTTACATCGGATTTTAGAGAAGAGATGTCTATTGACAGGCTACAACCCTAACCGCTAACCCTATGGACGAGTTTCTATACAATATTCATTAAGAATTGAGAGCCTCTGAACCTTCATCAAACCTTAACAAGTTTTTAAATCATGTAAAAGAAGAATATCCACTGTAATTCATTACTTACAATATATTCTCACTTTATACTGTCTTCTGATTGACTAATAATTGTCAAGGTCATTTAAGATTCGTTCAAAGGTCGTCGCTAAATTAGAGTCTCGCCTCAAAACTTGATAGTAAAGAGAATCCTCTTTGGGATTTTCCACTAGCGATTCACAGCATATTTCAAATGTGTGTGAAGATTTTGAAGGATCTTATTTACTTTGGGAAAAAATCACGACTTCGAGATATTTTTCCGAGAATATTAGGCTTGTTGACTGAATTTCATCGACATTAATACAGAATAACTAATGGGGTTGTTCCGAAATTGGTCCATTTAGGCCCAAAGTCGGGAACGTATGATGACAAAAAGGAAAAAGAACATAAATTTACGAGACATCACGTAAATCACTTATAGAGCATTACTTACGATCAAAAACAATACAGTCCTGTAGACTTAATGGTCAGACAGGTGTGACAAACAGCATCTGGCAGATTCGCTTCTAGCTTGAATGTACCTTGAGTGTGAGGAGTAGTATTTGAGAGAATCTGGAAGAGGAAACGACAGAAAAGGTGAGCCGATGATCCAGTAAATACATAGAATGCACTTACATTTATTATTGAAACCAATAGATAACAAATATAAATAACACAAGAGTAAAATCAATACAATCTGACAAGCGAAACCATGAGTTGATAGCGTTACGTTTCGAATATGTTACTCAGGTTAACAGTAACAATAAAACCAATATCCAATATCGTCGTAACGAAGTAGTTTTAACCGATTGATTTCTCTGTTGTTTATGTACAGCTTCAAGTCTTGAGAGACATGGGAGATAGTCTTTCCATTCGATTGGACTGGTCATACTCATATCAGTGGTCATTCAGGTCAATAACCGAAGGGCGATAACCGAGTAGAATTGCAATATATATCCTCGAATTTCCTTGTCATGAGCTTATATAAATCAATTAATTGATATGTGCTCACTTGCTAACGCTTTTATACGATTCCAGGTGTTTAGTTGTCCTATTGGGGGTATTCTAGCCACTATTTATAGCCAGTGCGGCAGTTATTTGTAGATTTGTGTACCATGTAGTTCAAAATAGTTTAAATGGTTTTGGATGAAATAGAAGAAGCTTCTGATTAACAGGCTTCTGTATCTAGTAGCAGTGGATTACGAAAACCTCCAAGTAGAAACCTAGGTAAATTATCGACAAAAGAGGAAAGAGAAAAAAATCGTAATAAGATATCCTTAGTCCTTAGGAATGTGTCATGTTTTCTTCTAAAGGATTCTTGATAAGTCATTTGAAATAGCTCATCCGGCAGCGAATTCCAGCATTTGACTACTCTTGTGAAGTAGAAGGTGTGTCTAAAGTCCGTTCTTCTGTGTTGAGTCTCCGGTTTCTGAGTGTTACCCCTAAGCTTTGTGTTGGGATTAAGCTTAAATAGGTGTTTAGGGGATATTCAGAAGCATTTAGGGTGCTGTAAGCCATTAGGCTACCTCTAAGACACCTGTAATCTAATGAGTAAAGATTCAGTGATTGGAGGTGCTCTCCATAAGGCTTGAATTTGAGTCTCCAAAGTGATTGTATGGCTCGCTGTTGGATACGCTCCAGGGCGTCCATATCTTTTTGGAGTATGGGACAAAATACTATGTTTCCGTACTCTAAGTGAGGTCGAATAAAACTGTTGAAGATTGTGTGGAAAGTTCTTCCGTCGAACTGGTCCAAAATGCGCTTCAATGTTACCGGTACAAGGTTTGCTCGTAAGGTGTTTTCGTTGCAGTTAGTGTAAGACTTCAAACCGTAGTGCACCTTCACTCATAAATCTCTTCCGACTTGGGATACTTTGACAGGCGAGTTGCCTTATTTGTTGCTATAGTGTGGTGCTTGAATGAACTAATGATTCCTTTGTACTTGTTGAATGCTTGATTTCGAAGTCTAAATACAGTACATTCGTTTGTGGTCATCTAGTACTTCTTGATCTGATTACGTTATTTCTGGGATTCTTAGTTCATACTATAATTCAAATACTTATAAATACTACATTAGCGTTGCGATGGAGCCTGTGATGGAACAGTTAGATATTTATTCAACCTCTGAAGCTTTTGAGGATTAATTTGAAATGTTCGAAATTTGGTCTATGACCAAGGAAGATGATGAGGATGCTAATATTGTAGCACATTTCTTCACATGTATCGGAAAAAAGCATATAGCTTATTAAAATATCTGGCTTTACCGGAAAAGCCTGTTTCGCTGTCTTATACATTTCTCAAGGATCTACTGCTAGACTATGTTCACTATACAAATTCCGAATGTCGTAAAGGAGGAAGATTTTGGAAAATGATTCATGAGAATGTAAAAAATTCCACCACATTACGTCATCCCAATCCACTGCATGCTCAAGGTTTTGCAGAAAATTCATTGACTTCGGATGCAGTTCACGAAGATGGGCACAATTTTGGCCAATGTTTGTCCTGTGGCAAGTTCCACTATTTTAATTCATATAAATTTCGTAATTCTAAGTGCTTTAGATGTGGTGACATTGGACATATTCAGTCAGTCTGTAATACTACTGTTCATCTTGCTGAAACTAATGTTAAGTCTTGTGATTCTGATTCTATTAAGTTGAGTATTTATAATGATCATTTATTTTCACCAACGGTTTTAAAAGACAGTGTACAGTCATATAGCAGTTCAGAGTTAAGTGAAACTCAGAATCTTTGCGAGACAACAGTTTCATATCAATCGACTTATCAGATTTCTCATGTTATTGTACCAGATATGGTTTTTCCTAATGATTCACATATTTCTGACGAAATTTCTTGCAAATCTGAGGAAAATATGTTGAATGAACCTAGTCATGATCGAAAACCTGATGCAGCCTTGTTAGATGTTGATTTTTCTAATGATCCTTCGCTCTGCAATGACATTCTTAATAAATTTGAGGAAACTATTTCAGAAGAGTCAAATCTTGATGTCATACCTAATATTATTTGTCCTCATAATGAATTTGTTTCTTGCGGGAAACTTGTTCAATGCGAAGCACGAGTACTAAATGACCTCGATTTTGATTACAATCCCGATGATTTCATACCAACTGCTGTTCATCCTTATCACAAATCCACTTCCAATGTATACTCTAATCAATGTGATAAATATGTTTTAAATGAAGCCACATCATGCATAACTTGGGGATATAAAGATCCAACATTATTTCGTAGGGGAGTATAGTGCTGAAAAATCTATGGTTCGAGTTCTAGATATTAATGATTTCAGTACAAAACCGACATGCTGATTGTATGCAATCCCAAGTGAGTCTGTTCCGATTTCGCTTGTTAATTCTAATACTAATGAGCACATTCTAGATAATACAGAGTTTTTATCCGATACAATGTCGGATAGACACAGGATGAACTTAAGAAGAAGACGTACAGTCGACTACAGACACTTAAACTCCAATATAAGCTGTGGGCGGATATGGTCTTCGAATGAACTAATGATCCCTTTGTACTTACTGAATGTTTGATTTCGAAGTCTAAATACAGTACATTCGTTTGTGGTCATCTAGTACTTCTTGATCTGATTACGTTATTTCTGGGATTCTTAGTTCATACTATAATTCAAATACTTATTAATATCACATATAGTCGCCTTTGGACTACTTTACACTTGGAATTGATAAAGGTAAGTCCGTTGTCATTTGCTCAACTATGAAGTCGAGTCAGACCCACATGAAGGGCCAGCTTATCCTCTTGGTTGTGTAACTCTCTCCAAAGTTTCACATCATGAGCAAAAGATAATAAGTCTGACGATACTGTAGTGGCTGTGCTTCGTTAACCAATCACCCTCGTAACCGTTACCATATAATCCTCAACGGTGTTTGAAATCAGGAGGTAAAGAGAAGCAGCTACAAAGTTTTATTAGCAGATACTCAGACCGCAAACCAGTGAGGCGAATGAGTGAGTCAGCTAACCGAGAGTAGAGAAGTGTAAGTGTACATGTATATAAAGGGAAATGAATGGATCATCGAATCAGTTAAGCAGCTAATAATAAAGCTAGCAGAGTGAATATGTGGGTAGGCGTTAAGCATTGTTCAAGCATACATATTTCATACAAGCACAACAATAATAAAGGTACAATAAGTTGTTATAGTACGGATGACTTTGTCCGCTAAATAAGTTAGCAAAAGGGCTTAACTGAGTTACATGAGAATAAACTCAGTTGCACGTGAGTCGCTAAAATACCTATTGTAGAAGATCGTTTACATAAATGAAGAACAGAAGAAAACCTAGTATTGAACCCTGGAGGACCCCACTACGAAATTCCATAGTACGAGAGAAAGTGAAGTCAACCCTGACTTTAAAATGTCGATTTTCTATATACAAAGTGGACTAAATAATTAAATGTGCTTTGATACCCAATGGTCTGAGCCTACTTATTAGACATAAATGGTTGATCCTATCAAAAGTGTTTGATAAGTCAAGGTAAATGTAGTCACCCCTCCCCTTGCGATCAAGGATGGTTATTTATCTGTCAACCTCAGTCAGAAGGTTAGTTGTACAAGAGTAACCTTTTCCGAAACCGTCTGTGAATAATAAATCGTCGTGTATACCGTCGAATATCAGGGACTCCGTAGTTTTTGAGGGTATAGAAAGTGTTACGATTTCTGTACATCACCATCTACCATACCACCAGGCAGGATAAGTTAACTACTCAAGTGATAAAAGATGATTGTTTCAAGGATAAGTAGTTAATTTACTTGATCGACAATGGATAAAAAGATAGAACTGAAAAAATAAAAGTGGGAAGAACGTGACAGCAAGAGATACAGGAAGTGGTTATTGATTATACATTAATGGCAACCATGGTAATTTATGAGATAGGTATTTGACACGGCTGGCCTAAGAGGAGTATAATAATCCATGGGTAAGTACATGTATAGAGGAAAATGAATCCCTCAAATAAATAGTTCATCAGTTTTTCGATATTGATGCTAAGGTCATTATTTTTGCTCGACAAGTCTAGCCGAAGGCTTTCAGCCATTTATCCTCACCAAATCAAAAGTGGGTACGCCATGCTACACATGACTTGCAACTGATAGCCAGCCTTGATTGAAAGAATATCGACATATTTATAGCTTTTCAAATATATCTTCAAACAACTTTACTTCTGAATTATTATTTGACTGGGTTAGAATAGTTCGATCATAAATGTGTTACATATAATAGCGTTATCAAAATCCAAACACCTGAGGCATATTTTGTGGTGAGACTCACGTGATCTGATACACCAAATGCAAACTATGAGTCTCTACCTTGTTGGAACATTACACTTCATTTTTCAAATTTACATTTATACCTACTGTGATATTGTTTTCATATTTTCTGTCATTGTTTTTGCCCTATAGTATAGTATATCTTCATCATGATGGAATAGAGACTCATGTTACTTAAGAATAAACATTTTTTGGTCCCCTTCATTCAGCTAAGCCATTTCGGCACGATAATATAGAAGTTTTTCTCGGCTACGCAGAAGCTGACTTCCGCGAGCACGGCGTGGCTGACCTGCGTGAGCGATTTTCCGCAGTAATAAAGGTAACACCGCCCGATTTTAACAGGTACATCACACCTAGTATGTTTACTAGTGATGTTTTGGAACCTTACTAAGAAT